ATTGTGCCAACAGGTATTATACTAAGTCATAATAAACCACCTGTGCTGATGTAAAAGGTGGAAGTGCTGAATCCCGAGCAACAGGCCCTGAGCTGAAACTGCTAACCCGGGATGTAATCCTTAATGAAATATGCGTGGAGGGTGCAGCTCTCTGCGATGCATCTTCCCCTTCCTGTGTGTGCATGGAACAACAGAGCCATGGAGGCCGGTGTCTGTCCTGAGACCTGATGTGAGACCTGCGCATAACCCCATCAGATAAGCAGAGAAACTCCCTGAGCATCTCCCATCCGTCCTGCCCAGGCTCTGGGGGGAACCTAAAGTGGAATTGAAACCGGATATTTCCGCCTAAAACAACGGCGTCAGCTCTTCTGCCTGGCTGGTTTTTGGGTCTCGAAGGCCGGACCTGCTCCCAGCGACTCTGGAGGCCTCAGCTCCGGGCGGAGGCACCGCGTAGGATTTCCCACTCGCTGGGAAAGGCTCAACAAACCCTCGTGTAACCGGGGCTGCCCAGCGCTGCGGGGCTGGGGGATGGAAAAGTGCGTGAGTGGGGATGGATCTGTCTGAATCACTCCTCTCTCTCTCTCAGGTACTAATGATTTCATGCATTACCCTGTAGTTTCCTATTTAAGTGCGCTATTCTGCCTTTTCTTACTGGATGTTTTCTGTATTATTCTGTAATATTATTTGGTTATTTCTAGTAAAATACTCCTGCTCTTTTCACTCTGGTGCCTGAGTTTAATTGGTATCCCTAATCAGCAAAACAATGGCTTAAAATTTTCCCCTTCATTTTATCAGCAACCTGCCTTCACAGCTTCTATGGTGAGAGAAGATACGCTTTAGTAAATATCTATCAGAAACCCCAGTATAAAAATTGACATTTTTTCTCTAGCTTTTACTTTCAGATTTCCCCCAACAGGTTTCATTCTCTTGACTATGGCCACACAACATAGTTCCACAGATTTTTGAATTTTTCTTGTTGCAACCTCTCTTCTGGCTATAAACGCACTTCTACCATACACTACTGAACACACTCCCACTCTTGAGTGCAGTCGTGTCTACTCAGAAACCCTTTTGCTGCATCATCTAAAAGAAGAATCCTCCAGTTATATCCAGTCTACCCAGTAGCTAGCTGTGAGGGCTCTGCTAATCTCTGTCAGTTCAAGGAAAGTTGCTCCAACAGCGATGAAACATAAAAGCCTTCGCTAACTAACGATGTGTGATATAAAGAGTCATGTGATGTAGACAGGTATTCCCTTCAAATGCATGTTCTCAGTGTCAGTTCATAAAAATATAGTAATTTCCCTTTAGAACAAATTCTCTCTCCACATGCTGAGCTCATCACATACAGCACAGTAGCTACCTCCGTCTCCCACCCACATTCTTTGTGGCATGAATATTCACCCACCATGAGACACTCGGCACTTGTACCTTCCTACCAGCTTAATGACATCTTAAAAACCCCAACAGCCTAATTACAGTCCTCCAGTTTTTGAAACCCAGCAGCATAAGCCATGCCTTTCACTAGCGAGACAAATGTTGATTCTACTTCAACTTAATAAAGACCAGAAATCGCACAAATGATACTACCTGCACAATCTATAGTCACATAATTTCATTTCCCATTCTTCAGATAACACTCTACACAGGTTCTTCTTTACTCAAGGAATTAATTGCATCTTCACTGCACCTAAGACCCTGCTGGATCTATGTAAACAGTGTCAGCTACTTCCAAACAATACAAGTGAAAAGGATTTCAATGTACACTGTGTCAGCATCATTGCTTCATTTTCCATGAAATGCATATTAAAGTTAACACCCCTCAATATGCTAACGAGGGATGACATGATCACGCTAATTACATCACCCCATGGAACACCTGACCCCTCCCCATACATGGGATATGTGGGTTGACCTAGGGGGCAGACCCAAGGAAAGCGGGTATAAATCAAGGGGGGAAAGAGAAGGGGGGGAGCGGGCAGAGAGTGCAGTGAAGCGAAGACGACGGCCGCCTCCTGGAACCCTCACTGGCAGGTTAAATGCAGAAACACAGACCAATGATCTGTATTTCCCCATTCCCTCTATCTCCCTCTTTTCCTTTTTCCATTAAGAAATTGAAGGCATATTGTACTGCTCCCCACAACTTGCTATATCCTTAGCCAATTATCCTGTGTCCAGATAGTACATTGTGGGTAGTTCATAAATGTTTGGACTCGGAGACTTGTTGTCCGCTCTGTTGGGGATTTGCGAATCTGAGTCACTTGTCTCCCTCATCTGAGACAGATGTGACAGTTCACCAAGGTAACTATCTAGCACCACACATCAGAAAAACACAAAAATATCACACTAGTTCTAACCAGCTAGGTCTAAACTAGATTATATCGTAAGCCGGATATTATACAGCACAATGTGGTATTTGATAAACAGATAAATATTTGCACTGTGTAGGCTGTTTATAGTATAACTTTATACAGAATGAAAGCAAAAAGTTAACTGTAAAGAAGTGAGCAGAACAACATTAAATATTATACCTCCAAGTCAGAGACTAAATTGTTGCAGCAGTAGAGCAAGATAAAATGTTTACAAGTCCTAAAATTCGCAGTAAAATAAGGAATCAGTTGCTCAAGTTAAAGGCGGCAGTCAACAAGATATTGCATTTACATGCACATGTCTAAATCTTAAAAGAAGTACAAATCTATGCCCAAATATACTTTGTTTTTACTGCTTGAAATTCAGTTATGGTTAGAGTATTTTTAACTTTTTTTTGTGCTTTGGAAACAAGACTATTGTTAAAGGTGCCATAAAAATGGACAACATCGAAAACAGTTTGCAAATAAACCACCTAACACTGCTGTTCTTTATACATTTTAAACAGCCTTGTCTGGGGTTTGTCCTATGTTAAATCTATTTAATCTGGGGAAATACATTGTAGCTTGAAGCCTCCCATTGGCCCAAATATCCAATGCAAAAACAGATCTCCAGAAAAGGAGCAGGCAGACAATACAGTTACATATAAATAAGGAGCCAGCTAATGTCCTAATAGAGCAAGTATTCACCACTATTCTGTAACTTGCTTCTAAATCAATGTAGAAATGAGGTACATTTTGGATTTAGAAAGGCATACAGTACGTATGCCTTTTTGTGAAATAAAATTCACTGTATTGCTTATGAATTCTCTGTTTAGATACAGGTAGCATTACAGATTGCATGTTCCTGTAGAGTTTGTGCATCTACATTAAGACTTTGTGGGGTAATTTTGGATAGTGTTTCTCAAACCCAAAGTCACAACCGTTTGAAAGTTGCCCAAGTGTTTAGATTATTGTCAAAACACTATGTGGGGCAAAGGTAGCTCGGATCTGCCCAAAGTGCAGCAGCCCAGTTCTCCAGCACAGAGCGCGGGGGTGTGCTGGCTGCAGACGAGTGTGCTGCCCGGGGAACTTGTCCCACTTACTGGATGCAGTTCAGCCCCACAGCGTGGCGGAGCTGGGAGAGCTGCCTGCTGGCGTGTGCAGTGCCCAGGGACTGACTGAGTACTAGCAGCAGCTCAGCGCCTTCGGTCAGGAGGCACCACCAGTCCTTACGGCCGGGTCGCACCCCCGCCCCAGAAGAGGAAAGTCCATTCCAACATGGAGTGCCCCATGCAAAAAAATAGCCCAGAGGGATGGTGCTTTCAGAAAGCTTGAGAAACACTGACTTACAGGAAAACAAGTACACAAAGGACATCTGAACACCAAAAACATGCAGATGACAACAAAAAGGTGTGATGGCACTCATCAAGTTAAACAACTTGATTGTGAAGTTCAGCTTGAATGAGACTATGAGGGATGACACAAATGAATATTGTGGCAGAAGAAATGGACCTATGAGTATTCATCTGAAGCCTTTATCATGGTTTTGTTTCTTATTTGGATAGCCTACTTATTGCTATAAACTTATTGCTATATTATACCAACGATAAAGGATAAAAGGAAAAAAAAACCAAAACACCGTTACCTATGAAAAGGGTAGAATACAGCTTTTATTTTGATGTTAAAATTCTATTTAATACCTGAAGAAAAAGGTGCAAAATGAAAGTGCCTTATCAATTCAACAAGAAAAGCTATACCAGTAACTCCATTTTATATTAATTAAAACAATAGATAAACAATATCGCTTTTGCTATATATAGTCGTCATGCCCATTTACCCTGTCATATATTACAATGCTCTTGCTGCTATTGCTATGGACCCTTTTCATGCCCTTCTGTCTACTGGCAAACAGTGGTAGGTGAAAAACATTGTCCTTCATGAAACAATAAGCAAGTTGT